CGCTCTCACTTCTGTAAAGACGTGGTTGAGCGAGAACTTCTCCATGAAAGACTTAGGGGATGCTAGTTATGTCCTTGGCATAAGAATCTACCGAGATAGATCAAGAAAGTTAATAGGTCTGAATCAAAGTACATATATAGATAAAATCCTTGATCGATTTAGTATGTCTAACTCAAAGAAAGGATCTTTACCTATGACACCTGGCACGGTTCTTTCCAAGAGCCAGAGTCCTTCTACTCCCGAGCAGAAGGAATTCATGATGAAGGTTCCATATGCCTCTGCGATTTGATCCATCATGTACGCCATGATATGTACTAGACCTGATGTCTTATTCGCTTTAAGCGTGACCAGCAGATACCAGGGAAGTCCAGGAGAAGCACACTGGACAGCGGTCAAGAACATCCTCAAGTATCTTCGCAATACTAAGGATGCATTCCTGGTATACGGTGGTGAGGAAGAGCTAAAGGTGGTCGGTTACACTGATGCTAGCTTCCAAACCGACAGAGACGATTCAAAATCACAAGCAGGATATTTGTTTTGCCTGAATGGCGGAGCTTTTAGCTGGAAGAGCTTCAAGGAGGATACAACCGCCGATTCGACTTCAAAGGCTGAGTACATAGCTGCCGCCGAGGCAGCTAAAGAAGCTATTTGGATCAAGAAGTTCATTACTGAACTTGGAGTAGTTCCTAGTATTAATGACCTTATCTCGTTGTTTTGCGACAACACTGGGGCCATTGCACAGGCAAATGAACCGCGATCTCACCAGAAAACCAAACACATTGTACGACGCTATCACATCATGCGAGAAATCGTAGACAGAGGAGATGTGATGATTTGCAAAGTAGATACTGAAGACAACATAGCCGATCCCTTGACCAAGCCTTTAGGAAAGCTAAAGCATGAGGGTCACACTAGGTCCATGGGCATTCGACCGATGCCAGATTGGCCATAGTGCAAGTGGGAGATTGTTGGAGTTGTGCCCTGATGGCCAACTGTTTATCGTTATTCTATCATATATAGGTAGATATAATATGTTTACACATCTCATGCTAATGTAAACAAATATTATATTCCTAGATTTATATTTAACTATGTTTATCAGATAGTGTTATTCTACTGATGAGACTAACATCTTGAAATAAATATTTATCTAAATGTCCATAGTCGAGTATTAACGAGAGTGGGATATCGTTAATGCATGTGAGACTAGTGTGTGTTGGATGTTTGACTTAGTCTCATAGTCAATGACAGTGTGTTTGCATCCGCACATGGGCAGATATTATCTGGAGATAATAGGATGCCGGACTGACCCATCCTAAAGATGTTGCTTGAACTTTTCGTTCATGCTCTAAGCATCTTTAGCGCGACCATAGGTGTAACTATCCTTCGACTTGAAGTATTACGTTTTCTGCATATGTGAACCCGCATGGTTTGATGCATTGTCCTAAGCCATATGAAATAAGGATGATATACAGGCTTTGTTTTGGGTATGCCGCCGCGCGTATTCAGAAACGTAGATTACGTACATAGGATTTGTCACTACTCTTTTTAAAGAGATTAATGTCTTATGGGGCCCACTGATCAGTTATGACTAAGGAAATTGCATGGCCATGCTGAGATTTTTTATGACGTCTGTTCCTATTAGTCAGACTTGATAAATCGGTGAATCCTTTAATATAATATTTGAGAGTTGATAGCCTAGAATTCTGACACGTGTCAAGTTAGGGCTCTTATTTTGACAACACATCGGATTGACACGCGTCTAATTATTGGGGAAGCTCTCCTTCATCCTTCCATACCCGTTCTTTCTCCCCCGACTCCTTCGCGCAGAAAGATCCTGGAAATCTTCATGCTGAAATCACAGGATGGAAAGAAATCACAGGATGGTTCTCGCTGCCTTGGGTCACGGATGGAAAGAAATCACAGGTACTCCGCTACGCCTTTCCATTCTCTTCTTCGCTACCCCAATTTTTCCCTAATTTTTACCTGAAATTAGGGTTCATAAATAGCAATCTGCTTTCTTCCATTGATTGAAACAATTAAAATTGTAATTCATTCCTAATTCATATTCGTATACCCTAATTTGATTTGAGAAATCATATACCTAATTTATATTCTATTAATAGATGTATTTTTTCTTCCTATAATTCTATCTATATATACATTCTCCTCAAGAACAACCCAGAATTCCTAACTTACGCATACTATTTTCTGAGATTCTGAGATTCATATTCCTTTTTGTTTTTTTCGTTCAATCCGTGACAATGACCATCCATCCACTGTTGAAGATCACTCCAAGCAGTGAATGTTGGAGGATCATGGTTCGTTCGTGTCGTACGATTGTATACTTTACCCGCTTATAATGATGAGAGGACTACAAATTCCATTGAAATGGTGTTCATGGATGAACATGTATGTCACCTTCTCTTGATTCATCATATTCCTTCTCATTTTTTTTGTTATACATTATATTAGTTCTATTATTCTATATATGTTTTTCCGTGTGGTATTACTGGCATATTTTTAGTGTGGTTCTATTTGTTTTTTATGAATTATAAACCTGGCATATGAAAGCAGTTTGGCTTTTTTTGTTAGTGGCATTATTGGCATATTCTTATTGTGGCTTATTCTTATTGTGGCATATTGTTAGTGTGGCTACTTTTCCAAACCTGATATTTCACTACTAGGACCTCAGCATGTCATATCATCAGCAATTTACTTGCATTCATTTGAAGTACTCTGTATATGATATTGACTAATTGTGCACTGGAAGAAAATTTAGTGGTATTTTTTAAATATTGAAACCTTAACATGTAGTTTGTATTGTTCTTTCACTTCTTTGTATATACAGAGTTCTCCTTGAACATCAAATATAGATTAGTTTTTTAAAAAAACTCCAAACTATTTATAAAGTACTAAAATCATTTAGTTGCTTAACATGTTAAAAATAACAGTGCATATCAACTCATGACGTACTATTATAAAGAAAGAAAATCAACCACCATTAAATTAGCAGAAATTAGTGATATACAATTGACATAGAGTGACATGATAGCAGAACAATGGCTTATGTAGGCTACTGTTTGTGGCTTTCTTGTGCCAAAGTAATTAAAAATTGCCATTGATGGGTTGTAGAAATTTGGTTTACCTTCCTTTTAAAATTTGGACATAATATAGAATACACTCACAGCTTAAATATGGCAAACCATGTTTTTCATAAGAATGCAGTCTGGCCAGTAGTTCTGCTAAATGTAGTGTGCTATACTTGGTGCCCTCTTATAGAAGAATGAATGCTTCGTGTATTATTATATAGACACTAAGCAGTCTCTACCATCAGTTTGCTTCTACTGTGTTTGCTTAGTGTATGATTCAGATGTTTTGTTGTTGTTTTTAAATTATATTCAGATTTATTGTTGTTTCCTAAGAGGATATGTTGTTGCTGATTTTTTATGATGTTTAATTTGAACAAACAAATGTAGGGAACTACGATACATGCCACTGTCCGGAGAAGTTTGGTTGGAACTTTTGAGAAGCGAATAAAGGAAGGGTCTGTGTATGTCATTGCCTATTTTGGCATCGGCATTAGTAGTGGAAATTATCGGACCTCTCGACATGAGTTCAGGCTGAATTTCCAACCAAGAACCACTATTTCAGAAATATTGCATGTAGCTGTGAGAGAATACCTGTGCATGGTCTTAAGTTGACTACTATTTCAGAAATATTGCAGGCAGACTCAAACTACCCGTATTTAGTTGGTAATAAATCACTCACTTATCCAAAATTTAATTTACTCCAATAAGTTTATGATTATATCTCACATTTTTTCTTTTATCAGACACTATGGGGGTCCTAACTGCTATGGGCAAGCAAAAAGAAATTGTTAAAGAGTCCAAAAGGACATAGATGATTGTGATTCAGTTAGAAGCGGATGGGTACTTTATTTTATCATAACTTTGTAGCAACGACAATATGAATATAACATCTATACAAGATTAATTTATTCTTTTCTTTTTACTTGGTGATTCAGGGTGACGTTAGATATAACATTGTTTGGGGAGTACGTTGACAAGATCAAAAGCTTCTTTGGGAGACAACCATTGGAAAATGCGATCATTGTGATTCAGTATGCAAAGGTGAAAACGTATCAAGGTACTACAAATGGTTATATACTAAAAACATTATGTTGATTATTTTATGGAAACCTTATCGTCATCTTTTGTGTTAATTTTAATTTAAAACTACCCGT